CACAATTTTTCTTACGATTTTAGGGACAATTATGTGAATTTTCTCGTCAATGGCTTTTTCCCTGTAGGTATTTTTAATATGTTCACTGACACCATCGTTTTGCACTGTATTTTGTAACTTTTCAAGGGAAGCCTAGAGCAAAAAAATTTAAAAAAATGAACACGTTTAATTTGCATACCTAACAAAAGTACTTTTCAGTATTTGCTCTATAATTTACATCCTCCTATATACTATAGGTACTTGTATTTCAATTAAACTATAATTAGTTGGCAACTCAACAAAATATGGAGAACGTAAAGCAATTCGTTACTTTTTTCATGAACAAAGGCAAACCTGCACATGCCTATCGCGCACGATTGCCTCCGATCGTTCGGTTATTAAAATGTATTTATTGCGGGTCATCCAAATTTATAAGTGACTTACGTCCATTATAAATTCTGCGCCATACGTGTTAACACGCTATAGCAACTATAACAATGCTTATAAAGTCTTATGTAGCCGCGCGAGTTTTGTTTCTTAGCCTATCGTTAAGGTCTCCTGAAGATTTTTATTATATGTCAGCCCCTGTCCTCGTCTAGCTTACCTGGAGTCGCTGCTGTTGTCTCACCTTAGCTTTTAACATCTCTCGTGCTTTATTCTTTAAAATATTCGAGTTCTGCCCGCCGTTTGTGCAGAGCGGAGCGCGAAACTTTAAATATTAAAAGTGCTCGACGCGGTTTAGACGTTCAGTAAGCTGAATATTTATCGCGGGATTAAATATCGTTGTCTTGGTTTATTTCTAGGCTCACGCACGTACTTTATCAACTGAGATATTCTGTTACGAGTATACACTTAGGTACATGTATAAAGAGTTTAATAATAATAACAATTTCTGGAAATAACGAAAGCGCCTTATCTAAACATTTAATAAACACGTGCTATGAAGTTAAACGAACTCTAGGGAATCAGAAAACGGTGGATACTTATCTTTCCTTTTGAAAATATGATATTCCTTACACTGATCCTAAGGTTTAAGCTACCACCCACGTTGTCCGTATGACTCGCGAACATTATTGATTTAAAAAAACACGGTTTTGAATGCGAAAACTTATTTTTTTTTAAATAAATTTGTTTTATGACTATATAAACTATATAAATAAGGATAACAACTAAATAATAATTAACTGAGACAGAGTCACTATTCTATTGTAGGTAGTTATCAACTTGGGTGTCTATGTTAAATAATTTCTAGAATTAAAAAACATATTTCTTTAAACATGGCGATAATATTTTTGGCTAAGTGTTTATTTCGAGTCGTTGTACGTGAATTAGTCACATTTTCAGCTTTCTTATATTAGCAGATTGGATAATAATGAATAAAATAGAACAAGGCAAAGACAAAATCACTTCTTATTCAACATTTTTTAAGCTTTCTCTATAATTTGCATATAAAAAAACTGTTATGTGTATCTTTAAGATGTGTAATGGAACAGAACAGAGAGGGTTGCACTATTCTACCTCAAACTTTTCTTTTTCGAAATACAAGGTGATAAAATTTTCTAATGTTTTTATTTGTTTTATCATTTTCCTGGTAGACGAATATTTTTAATGGAGTTGTAAGTACTTAAAGCCAACAGATCACAAATGAATATTATTCTGTTTTAAACCAAATTCTAATGAATAGCTAAAAATATGAAAAGAAAGTACTTAAGTATATCAAAATAAAGGATAAAACAGAGAAATGACTTTTTAAAGGCTTTATGCCTTCAAAAGAATATCATGTGCAGATTATGTTTGAGACGTGTTCTGTTAATTCTTAAAAAATGTCTTAAATATATCGAATTTGAGAAAACTTGTAAAATTAAACAAAATTAGTAAAAACATTGGTAAAAGTATATAAGAGGTATATCAAGAAAAAAATAATAAACGTTCATATGATCAGTTGTTTCCATTTCTGAGCACAGAACCACGTGCATGATTTTGTCGGTGGAATATTGCAGTTCCCTCTCTATTCTGATATCTAACACGACAACTTTTGGATCTGATAATGCTTTCTGACGTAACTTTTCCTTATGAAACGGAATCCGGCCATAAATTTGCCTCATTGCAGTAGGATTTTAAGATATTCGAACTTAAATATGACAAAAAAGCAGTTCTGATATGTTTTTGACGTTATGTTACACCTTTTAAATAAAAAAGAGGTTTCTAGGTGTGACAATGAGTGATATTTCACTCACGTCGTACTCAATAGTGTATCAATTTCTGTCCACACTGGATTGAGTGAAGTCTTACGATGTTAATATGAGTAAAAAGGCAATTTTATGAGGTCCTTTTGATGCAGAATTCACAGAATTTTAGTCAAATGTGAAGTTCTGCTAGTACCCACCGAATGACTTTTTAGTTTATGATAAGCGTATAGAAACAATGAAGTATTAGTGAATTCGGTGGGAAGAAAACAATATTGCAAAGTGGCAAAAAGAGCCTGGATGGTTCGCTCAGAATTAGTCAGATTTAGTCAGATCGTTGTTATATTGGAGTGCAGTTTAATGTTATAGTTCAAGTGTTGCCATAAACCAGTAAAATTGTCAAAATGCTCAATACTAACTTAAAACATAATATGTTTTCAGTTAGTTGGTTAGTTCAGTCATTATTCAATAGTTTAATTCAATTGATTCACTCAGTACATTTAATCACACCAATTGCAAAACTCCACAAAAAAAGTCTTGTCCAAATGACCAGAATACATTCCCATGTATTTTGAGCCGACGAAAAAAAATTAGATGTCAGAATTACTCGAGTGAATCACCAGAATTGTCTAACATAAAAAAATGCTTTAAAAACTCACAAAATCGACGAACCAGTATTTAAAATTCAGGTATGATCTATCAGCGACTGAAACTAGTGGTCAGGTCTTTATATTCCCATGTATCTTGACCCGTTGGATACGAGTCCGAAGTCAAATTTGGTCCATAAGGTCACAAATCCTTCCTAACCTTAAGAAAAAGCTTCAAAATCTACAAAATTAATAAATTAGCTTGTATGACTCAGGTATGACCTAAATTCTGGTGATTTGTTGGGGTCAAAATACACGAGAATACATATACTCTTGGACAAAGTAAAGCAACAAACTGCCAATGGGATGACAAGAAGTAAACTTTTATACGAATGGTTCATAAATCTTAAATGTAACTGTCACCCATAACAAACAGAAAAAATGATAGCATAACCATTATTTGCTATAACTTTTGCACACCTTCTCGGCATGGACAACATCAGCTTTTGGATAATGTTTTCTGGTACACTTTGCCAAATTTCAATTACTTTATTCTGTAAAGCTTTTTTGTTTCTGAATGTTTCTGTCCTTATCCTCCTTTCTACTTCTCCCCACAAGTTCTCAATGGGATTGTGATGGCCAATCCAAAACTCGTACATTACTGCCACGAAACCAATCTTTCACAAGCTGTGAGGTATGCTTAGGATCACTGTCCTGCTGAAATATGAATCTCAGAGACATTTCTCACTCTGCATATGGCATCATAACATTTTGAAGGATATCTCTATACACAAAACGATTCATAATTCCATCAATGAAAACATCCCCATAAAAATACAGTTCCACCGCCAGGCTTAACATAAGCAGGATTGAATCTCTGATTAACGGGCATACCATCAGAATTGAAAATATTGTAACGTGTTTCATCGCTAAATAATACTTTTTTTCCAGCCATTTTGTGTCCAAGTCAAATGAGCTCTGGCAAACTCTAGCCTGGCCCTATTCCTTGAAGAAATTAAAGATTTCTTCTACTAAAAAGCTTCCTCTCGACTAATCTTCTACGAACTGTGCGCTCACAGATGTTTAAATGTCCAATATCCGCCATAATTCTGGGACCTGGCTATCACGGATGCACGACAAATGCGTTTAATCAATCTGTCGTCATTTGCTGATGTTTTTCTAGGTCTACCCGACTTAGGCATATTATTTAAATGTCCCCTTTCTTGAAATTTGGACCATATCCTTGAAACTAAATATGTATCTGCCTACTTCAAACCGACGTGAAATGTCTCCCTGACTCTCCTCGTTATTAAACGCATTTAATGCTCTTTGCTTTAAGTCAGTACTGATAGCAATAGCTTTAGGCATTTTGAGGAAACTTGTTAATATCGTAGGATTAACGATTATTCACTTCAACATTAAAGAAGAACGAATATCGAAAAAAATAAATAAAATTAATAACTGTTGCTTTACTTTTGTCCGCTTAAAATTAGCACACTTAAGACAAAAACCGTATAACAACAAAACTGGACTGTCAAACCTAAAACCAAATAATTGAATGACAGCAGCCTATAACGTAGCGCTTGAAATTGCGTTGTTTTCTTCATTTTTTGTTATCAACTTTAGACAAAGTCAAAAATGAATTTTTTACATAAATATTGCTTTGCTTTTGTCCAATAGTGTAGGTCAGACCATGATTTTCAGTCGCTGTTAAATCATACCTAGATCATAGAAGCTAATTTATTAATTTCGTGGATTTATGAGCTTTTTTAAGGTTGGGAAGGATTTGTGACCTTATGGGTCAAATCTGATTTCGTATTTATGTTCAGCAGGTCAAGATACATGAGAATATAAGATCTGACCACTAGTTTGAACCGCTGATAAATCATACCTGCATTTTTCAAATTCAGTGACTAAAAATACATGTACTCTGGTCATTTGTGGAGCTGTGTGATGCACAGTGTATCAAAAAGATGTCAAAACCGCCTTTTTGAAGTTTTTTATGTTTGAATATCTCAAAATCCCGACGTAACGGAGCATTTTGATGACCAGATTAGTATTAAGCGCGAAAAACCGCATCCAAAAGCACTGCAAGTCTCGAGAAAGCTTTTCTGGTATTAGTTATAGAAACCCATCCTATTTCTCAGTCCTATCCTCCTGCCATGTGCCGCATATCTGCAAACGGCGCCAGACTACCCACCTGTACTGGTCAGGTAAAGCAAGAACTAAGGTTAGGTTTGTTTTACAGAGCCATGGCTGGGTCTGCCGTTAGTTGGCTGGATGATGCGATGCGGAGCGGACTTCGCGCGATGTGACCGTGGCAGTGTATGTGACCCGTCACCATGTTCCTCGGTTCTGGCATGGGGATGTTCCGAAGTGGCGCGGCCATCGTCTTCTTGATCTTAGCCGTGGTAAATGGGGTCGATTGTGCGAGGAATCCAAACAAGGGATACGGGACCAACACGTCGCACGACCTGCAGCAGCACATGCGGACGGGCCCGCCCGTCATGGAGAAGGAATCGAAATTTTTGAATAAAGGGAAAAGTAAGTGAGTGGTGAAGGTGTTAAACGAGCCGTTCTTGGAGATTTGTAAAAGCGTTACGTGTTTGCAATATGTGAGAGGTTGTTCACTCTGCCTTGGGTAGTTGCACATGCATTACATTGGTTTTGTTTACGTTACGGCGTACACCAGTTGACAGGTAATTCTCGGTGGTACGTGAGTTACATAAATTCGAATTTCAAATGATATGTCGATACTTCCTAAACCATTTCTTCGTAATCCAATCAAATATTCAGCTAGGGGCTTCTTGAATACAACAACATAACACATTGTAACATAAAATTTCTTAAACCTATTTATATTACTTTACAATCCTATTATAGCAAAAAAATGAGTTATTTCCAATTCAGACTAGTCTAGTATCCAATATCAAATCAGTAATTATGTTTCCCAGAGAAGTTAATTGTCATCAACGACTTTTTTGTCAGATTTGGTTTAAGTACATGGAAAAATACCTGTGTTTAAAAGTAACTGAACAAACAAAAACATCAAATAATAGAGTAATCTTTTCTTTCTAAATATAAGTTAATTGTATTATAATATACTAGGAACCAGACCAGAAAAAGCGGGAAACTTACTGTAAAGCGTTGTTTGAAAAAGCATTATCGAGATTATTAAATCTTACCGCGCAACCTCACATGTAATGTAAACCGTTGAGATAAGAGAACTCTCATTAGGCTTAACCTTTTGTTTACAATCTTATTCTCGTAAAAATTAATAAAACTGAAAATTTAACAGTGTGTACAGCGTTGACTTGAAATAGTATAATAGGTATGTAGTAGTTAATCAGCCATATTCAACTAAAAAATTGAAATTGATTTCAATATTGAAGTGTTATCAATGAAAATTGACTTTTCAACTTTGGGGAAAACTGGTATGCACTAAAGACTATTCACTACAAAACCTTGAAATTAAAATCGAAAAAAATTATTTATTTAATAAAGTGATCTAGTTTTTTGATATATTTTCTTAATTCAAATTGTTGTCAAATAATTAACAATATAAACAATTACAATTAACAGAATTAATGAGAAATACTTAGGAATGCTTTATTATTTATTTTTAAATTATTATAAATCGCCACAAAAAGCCACCTTAGCCTCGATACAAGGTGTCTTGAGGTGAATGGGTCATATACATATACTTCACGTGTACCCTTACCTAAAAATAAACCAATATAAGTCAACCTACTTCACTTTTTTAAGATAATTTCGTCACTTTTTTAGATATTTCATTTAGGAAGCTTTTTGGAATAGACAAAGATGAATATTTTTTTCTGGGTGTTCGGAAACGTCATGTCAAAAATGAAGGGGTATACAGGGGAGCTCAAAATAGTTGACTTCATAAACATTTTTTTCCTATCGGGCTTCGTTGTGGAGTTTATTTGCCTTCAAAGAAAGAAGTTTGAAAACAAATTCCAATTACAACTTCTAGTCGTTACTATGACAACAATGAAATTTAGGCAATAAGAGTAACTCATGATAATGTTCATTTTCAAGTTTAAACTGATATTTAATAAGCCTGAATTACACAGGAGCAGACAAAATGATCCATTTAAATTAAGACATCTTTGACAGCGTTGCCATATTTGGCATTTTTCTTTCATAGTTCGATTCCTCTCTCAATTTACTAAAAAAAAGGTATACTGTATATCAACCGATATATTGTACCGTTTTTGAGAAAATCCAATTTTATTAACAACATACATGTATTGTATCAAAAATGCGATATTAACATTTTTGCAAAAATCTTGGAAATTGAGATGACTGTCAACAAATATGTATAATTAGCAGTTAGATATTTGTGATAAATCATTTTGACACCATTTGGTAATTCATTATCATGGAGGATTTTAGCTTATGAAGAATTTGCAGATATTCATCTAATGTACGAACTTGCACAATGTAATGCTTCTGAAGTTGTTCGGATTTACACCAACCTCTTTCCAAATAGAAAGAATTTGCATATTTGAACTGACGAAAACCCTATGCTATTATTCAGACAAAACACTAACAAAAATTTATCATTAATACATGGAAGGTTATACCTAATTGAAAACTACTTAGTGGGACCACATATCATTGATGACGCTTTGAATGAGGATAAATACCTACATTTACTGCAAGAACACCGTTATTGGAAGACGTTCCTTTAAATATTTGAAATAACATGTGGCTTATGCCCGATGGTGCACCACCCCATTTTAGCAGGACAGCAAGGGCTTATTTAAATACCATATTTTCCAATCGATGGATCGAGGTAGTACTTTTCCGTGGCTGCCTCGGTGTCCCGATCTTAATTCTACCGATTTTTGTCTTCAGGACCATCTTAAAAGTCTTGTTTATCAAACTCCTATTAATAGTAAGGAAGAATTATTAAATCGCCGACATCATTAGAAATGATCACCACATGTTATTTTGAGTACAGCAGAGGTGTTTGAGGTTTTTTTTTCTTTTAATTCTATAGAAACCAAAATTTTTACAAAAATATTCATGTATCATATTTTTGATACAATAAATGTATGTTGCTAATAAAATTCGATTTTCTCAAAAACGGTACAAGATGTCGAAAGCACGGTATATCATTTTTTTAACAAAGTACAGGAGGAATTGAACTATGACAGAAAAATATCAAATTTGGCAACACTGTCAAAGATTATAAATTTTTAGATATTTCATTTAGGAAGCTTTTTGGAATAGGCGAAGATGAATATTTTTTCTCATTTAAAACATAGAGCTCATTAAGAATATCTGACGCAGTCATTTATTTTTTTGACATCTTCTTTCTCGGTAAAAATTTCGATAAAAATGGAATATCATAAAATTTAATAAATTACAGTTGATCTTTTCGCTTCAGTTGTAGTCATATTAAATATTTTATATAAAGTTTAGCAATATTCGAGAAATATCTCCATATCTGCCTTTTCACAAAAATTTTTTATTAAAAAAATACATAGCAAAAAAATACTGTATGCTTTGTATAAGAAATAAGCCAACATTCATATTTGGCTACCAAAACCTTTATATAATTTACTAAAGTAAATATATCTAATTTGTTTTTATCCAAAGAAGCTATTTTCCTAAGACATAAACATTGGTTAAGAAATATAATAATTAATTTTTGGGTTAGGTATTTTCATTAAATTAGTTTAAGTTTTTTTTGGGGAACGTTTCCGATTGTTGACAATTGTCAAACACAACCTCGACCTGCAATTTTATATCAATTCCTTCTTTATTGCATACCAAGTTTTGAAGTTTCCAAACTCTTTACAACTTTCAATCGATTTGATTTTTACAACATAGTAAGCCTCCATTTTTTATTGAAATATTTGTGAAATATAGCTAATTCATGTATCTCATTTCAATCTTGATATGAAGTCAATGTTCATACAACATAGGGCTGAATATGGTGACAAATGTGTAATATTAGTTTATCCTGACAATACTGTTAACAGTAGTGGTCTTTACAAATCAAACTTTATTTCGGTAATTACTGTTAATCCATCGTCGTATAAATTGCCAATATGCTTTGTTTATTGATAATGTAAGGACCGCCACTGAACTTTAAAGCTTCCATTATTTTTAATGGAGGCTAACGATATGTTTGAAATTAAATGTAAGGAAAAGGTACCATACAAAGAACCGACGATGTAAAATCCAATCCAATCTTTAATAAGCAGTCAGACAAAAAAGTTAAATAAAAAAACATGACAATCATTTTTATAATGACTGCCGTAATAATCTTAATAGCTTCTTATATCAGATCACGAGTCTATTTTCATGAATTTTTAATTAGTATACCAACAGAAATATCCATCTGGGGGATATACCAAGGACATTGAGTTATTTACTTTTTTTATGACGGACAGCTGACGCGTTGAAAAAATTTGATTAGCCATTCCTTTTGTGCTCTTTTTGAATAGACGGTAATACGTCATTAAGTTTTTGTGTCGCGTGGACAATAACATTTTGTAATGGTAAAATAATTATTTTCTAAGAAATAATAGCTCATGAAAAGATGAAGCCATTCTAAACTGTGTATGATTATATTTTTTGGAAAATAAAACTACGATTATTTTCGTTCTTTCCTTAATAGGTATCGTAGCGTGAATTACTGCTAAAAATTAGCTTCTGCCATTAAAATTATCTATAATTTTCTGCATATTTTTAATTGTTTAAGACTGGTTAACAATCTGAAAATTGGTGTTTAAAATTTGCTCAAAATAAAATACAAGTAGTTTAGTTATTCTACAAATTCTTTTATTATAAGGATCGATTCCAATATGGCCGTTACTGTATCATTTTTAATTTATATACGTCTTGGTAACAGTTGCTTAATTAAACTTATAGCTTTTAATTAAGGGTTTCACAATCTAATTCATCGATGCATCGGCTTTTCCACATCAATAATGAAATGCCCCATGTCATCTGCAGTTGTTTGTGTATATGTAAAGCTATTTAGCTTACAAATGAAAGTACACTTGGCTCTCAAAACCTGCTGGCATGGTGTGACCCAAATTAGGCATAACGGAGAACGGTTGAAAACGCATACGTTTTAGAAGCAACGTTCTACGCAGACCTACGTTGATTTTTTAAAGTTTCCGCTAGTTAAATGGTGTTAACTGGGAAATTGGTGTTAGTGGAAAATGTTATCAAGACATTCAAAATTATAATCCAATGTCTAATTTTTCTCTTTTCATTTTGCGTTGTTCTCTGTACCAGGTCTGCTCATTAGCAAACATTTGTAGACAAAGTCAATATGTACTTTCAAAGTACATATTGGTATTTAAATGATTTAGTCATAATATATACGCAAATAGTAAAAGTCCTTTGGCGAAAAGGTTTATAAGGATACGTTGTTTTTAATTACAATTTGATTTGGTGTGAATTTATTATGATTTATTTTATATTTTGCTGTAAATTACAATTAATGATTGTAAATAACAAGAAATTTCGCTGAGTTGGCAAATATCAAGGCCTCTAAG